GAGCATTTCTATCTCAGTACTATTTTCTTATACATAGACCGTAATTGTGAACAAAGTTTACAAGCATGTAGAAACTAACCTTCTGCCATTTTTTATTTTTTATTTTTTATTTTGTATTTATTTAAGTGGATTTATTTGGTAGCCATGTGGAGATTGCAACAAACAAGTCACTCTGTCCATTGCTTTCAGCAATTCAATACTCACATTTTTCAATCCAAAATTTACAACAAGAGAAGAAGAAGAAAAACTTGGGCCTTAAGGGAAGCATATACAAATGTGGGAGGAATTGCATGTGTTGCTAAATTTCTCCAAAATTCATCTCAATTGCCATTTACAAACTAATTAAACAAAGCTTGTCCTCCACCCCCACATTGACTGCTCACCCCCAAAGTCAACGCTCTGGACAAAGGAGGCAGGCAGGGGTTGTGCCCCTGCCCCCCCCCCAGCCTCTTCTCTTCCTCCCTCTCCCCCTTTTCTGAAAGTCAGAAGCTGTGGGTGTGCTAACTTCAAGGGAGCAAAAGCTTGTTGATTCACTTCTCTGTCACTCTGCCACACAACATCTGTATGATTAGTGGTGATCAATACCCTTAAGTGTGTGCCCCCCACCCACCCCCCCCCCCCCATTTTGGATGATGATTAGAGTTTACACCATGGCCTCTGCAGCAGGGGGTTTCTTTTTTCTTGGATAATGAGCCAATGTAGCACCAAGTCATACAACCCTAGTCTGGTGTCAATACATTGTGTTAGGGGAACAAGAGTAAACATACCAGTGTAGTCACAATAACTTGTCCCTCACCCAGTGTTTCACCTTAAGAAGAGCTATTGGGGGGGGGGGATAAGAACAGTGAGTGTTAAGTAACTTGATTCCAATTCAAGTATCAATTAAAGGGGAAGGGGTGGGAGAGGCAGGGGGGTCACTCAAAATCATGGCTGCCATGTAACTAAGTGTGTCATGAGGAAAGTGTGCAAGTGTGTGTGTGTGGCCAGTGGAGGATAAGGGAGGAGGAGGAGAAGGAGGAGGCCAAGAGCATGTGCAATAGTAATGATGCTTGCAGCTTGCATATGAAGGAAAAAGCGAGAGGAAGAAGGGGGAGAGAGAGAGAGAGAGAGAGAGAGGGGAGGTTATTTAATGAAGAAGCCGCTGCACACAATTTTATTTTAAACCCACGGGGATGGAGGGAGCAACAACCAAGATGGAGGGAGTGTGCCCCTTCATGAGGACACTGTCTTAGGGAGAGAGTGAGCTTTGAAATGAAGGAGAAAGGCAAAGGGGTCTCTCTCTCTCTCTCTCTCTCTCTCTCTCTTTCATGAGGGGCTTCTGCGACCCTCTGACAGCAGCACTGAATGAAGGGGGGGGGGGGGAGGAAAATAGAGGAAGAGGTTGTCACACTCCTGTGTCCCAACATGTATGCTCTCCTTTGTTGTTTTCTTCTTCCCTGTTTTTTTCTTCTCCCTTTCTGGAGATCAAGCTGTATCCTCTTGGCTGCAGCAGTTTCAAGGAATACATGGGATAAGCCTCCACAAATGGATATGGAGCTTGGGGGAATGAGTCCCTTGTGTGCAATCTCTTTAAGCTCCTGCTGACCAAGATGGCTGCATTCATTGTGAGTTCTGTTTGACTTATCTCAAGAATTGTGAGTAGAAAAAAATATAAGTAGACTAAACTTCAAGCCTTACTGCAGAGTGGTTTGATTTTCTTTAAAAAAAAGAAAGATAGACAGAATGGTTTTTTTGACCACCTGCACTTCGAAGTGTTGAAAATGAGTTTTTATGAGACAGTCTTGGCACTCAAGCTATCACATGATCATTACAAGCTTTGCAATTTGAAATAATTCTATGGACACATTAATTTTTCTTTTTCTGTCCATTGTAATGGTGGGCTTTTTCTTGGTGATCTACATTATTACTACTATTATTATTAAAAATCAAAATACATACCTTACTGCCCATCATAAAAGCTATCGTAACTTCAATACCCCCTTGTGAAGCTACCAAGTCTTAGTCATTCAAGGAAATGGAGTTCAGACCTAATAGCTACTCAAATGAGGGGTTTTTTTTTATTTTTTTTTTATTTTATTATTGTTTGGCCAATACATGTGATATCTCTTAAATTCTCCCCCCTTTATAACCTGTCAACGTAAAACTTAAAAACTTGTGATGATCCCCACCCCTCTCTTTGCCATTGTCATCACAAGAAGGTGATTGTTTTTTCCTTTTCTTTTCTTCCTCATTCAATGGCTCATGATCACAGGGGACTAAAGCTGGCTTTACTGGGAACCTTTGCAGAGCCATGCAGAACAATGAATCCTCACTTAAAATCTGACCCAGCCAAAGGAACCCACAAACCATCAAGTGATTGAAGCAGACAGAAGAGGCCTCCTCCTCCCCCTTCTAACACTTCTCTATCACTGTGGCTGGGTAAGAATTTCTATGATAGAATGAGCTCAATTAGCAATTGTTGGTTTACTATGGGTTACATGTTTCTCATAGAATCAAGACCATAAATGGATGCACACAGGAGGTAATTATAAGACAAAAATACTATGGAATGGTAATGATTGAAGATGCTTATTAAAAAAACCAAGGATATAATGGGGGCAGTGCTTAACATGGAAGGTCATTGCAGTTCCCCAGGCCTATTTGTGTCAAACTGAAGGCAAAGCCATGAATTGGGGAGGGGACATCCCCAAAGGAAGTGTATGCCAGAAGGGGAAACAATTCCTTTTAAGACAGGGATTCTGGGCTTAGATTCATCAAAAGAGGCAGTGAGCTGGCTCTCTTCCCAGTTTGGTTTAGAATGCTCACTGATGTTTTTTGTGCACTGTGAGGGGAGCAAAAGAACATCTTGTGTTTTGTGGTCCAAAACCTTGCAAAGTGGAATGTGATGGAGGTGGATTACAAGGTCAGAGCTTCCTAGCACAGAATTGGTGGGCACCTGTAAATCATCTAGTGTAAAACTTGGGGCACTGATTCAAAGAAAAATAAGAGTGAGATACAGGGGGGAATCTTTCCAACTTCATTAATTATTGGCACTGATTAAGGCCCCATTCATAGAGTGGCCAAGAAGTGAGTGTGTCAGAAAAAGGCATGATCACCAGCAAACCGAAAGTGATGTGTGACAATCCATAGAGCCACATAAAAACCCATCTGGTTTAAGTTTCTTCTCTTTTCCCCTCCCACTCCCCTCCCCTTGATCCCCATTTTACTACTGCCTTTGCCCAAGTTCCTCCACCCTACCAAACAAACAAATTCCCACCCCTCCAGTGGACAACCCACAGCCTTGCAGAGAGCAGAAAGAAGCAGCAGCAGCAGTTAAATTGGTGCAATCAATACACCACTGGAGGAGGGAGGGGGGGCAATATTCACCAGTGTGTGGTGAGGACCCCACTCCAAGGCTAAAAGAAGGTGGTTGATTCCACATGCCATGCAAGTACTCCTTTTGAAGGCTACAGACTCTGTACAAAACACAATATGGTGCTCCCCCCCCCCCCCCGACCTCTGGTTACTGACAATCAGGGCTTGTAATATTTTGTCTTATAAGCCTTGTTGGTGCCATTTGCAAATCTAAGCCAGTTTAGTGGCCGAAGCTTTCCTACTAATCCTTTGGCACAGTCGAGAGAGAGAGAGAGAGAGAGAGGGGGGGGAGGGGCTGTGGTCATGGGCTCCACTGACAGAGCGGAATGAAGAGCTCAGGCAAAGGGGGGTAGGTGGGTCACCTGCTGCAGCCAGTCACAGGCGACTGCCATCTTCCTGTCAGAAACTATCAGAGGGTGTGGCAGAGTGTAAAAGAAGAGGACAAAGGAAGAAGAAGGCTCTGCTGCTGCTGCTGCCCTGTTTCTGTGCTGGACAGAGAGAGAATGGCTTGGTTTTGTGTCCTGACCTGACCTGACCTGAGCTGCCCAACAATTGGAGGGAAATGTTCTGCACAGTTTGCTTATTTCTTCAGGAAGGTGCATCCTGCACACACAAGATTTTTGTTGAAAAAATGAGTTGATGTTATAAATAGCTTCTAAAAATATGTGAAATTTTTCCCGACGTATCATGTAGGGTATTGACAAAAGCTTTTCTTTGGTCATGACCCAGAAATAACATTTGATGAAACATCATTGAGCGGTTCCTTGTTAATTTTCAACTAAAGCTGCATTTTAAAGAGTATTTTGGAACGAAAAAAGTGCAGGTGCAGATGGAACCCAAGTTTGTTCTAAGAATTTTATTCAAGGTTTTTAAAACTTTATGGTACGTGTTCGTATAAATGAGGTTCAAGTTATATACAATGACGTAACACCGAAGTTTTTCGTTTTGATCAAAACCCATTCATTCGTGAAGGATCTCTCTGTACAAAACAGAGTCCTTCTTGCTCCACAAGCCCTTTAGTACAACAGGCACGGCAGTGTTTTTGGAGCCTCTTCCACCTTGCATCACCGTCACCGTCAAATTCTGTATTAAGTGAGAAGGCTTATTTTGGCATACACTTCTAAATATGTTGGAAGGGGAAATAATAAAAAAAAAGAAACAAAAAAAAAACAAAAAAAACAAACAAACTCAGACACCTTACCATCTGTTTTTTTTTAAGGAATAAGGTACGCAGTGTCCAGTATGTCAACTGCATACTTTTGTTATTACCAATCCTTTGAATCCAATCCATATTAACAAATACTACCGCAACTACAACTGCAGAGGCATAAACAGGAGCTGCTCGGAATCCTCCTCACATGATCAGAAACTGTGAAGCTGCGTCACGGTACCCCTAATTTCTAGGCTTGGCAGTAAGTGACTCATTCCGCTCCCTGGATGATGAAGACGACGACAGCCATGATGATGTAAATGGTAACAAGGTGTAGTAAGGGTGTGGTGAGAAGCAGGGGAGCGTTATTAAAGGGCGAGGGAGCACAAGGGTATAAAACCTTACCCGCAGGTCTCCGTGTCTTTGGTTGTCTTTATCATCTAGATTGTACAATATATACGCCTGGGTATGCCCCACCCCCCCCCCCCCCCCCGCCCTCCAGTAGTAGTAGTAGCAGCAGTAGCGGCAGTTGTGGTGGTTGTGGTAGAAGAGAGCAGCACTGGAGGGGGGAGGCACGAGAGAGAGAGTGAGTTCTGAGATTTCACAGTGTTAAGCAAGGCAAAGGAAGGGCAACAACTTTACCCTCCCCCTCTCCTTTCCTTTCCTTTCATTCCCCTTGTGTCGCGCAAACTTTTTCTTTCGCCCGGCTGCTCCCCTACTCTTGTGGGAGGATCCAGGGGTCCGGTCGGACAGCTCTACTTGGTGGGGTGGACTTCGATGAGCTTCTGTTGATTCTTAGATTCTGTCTGAAGTGAAAGGAGCATGCTGGCCGGGCTTTGAGGAGGGGAAGCCAGGTTGCAAAGAGAGAGCCGCAATTAGGACAATTGCGACTCAGGCAGTTGTATTAGTCTAGAATCGAGGTGCGAAACTGGCGCCAGTGTTTGGGTGGGTGGGGGGTGAAACTTCCTGGTGCTGCAACTGTTCAGATTTTGTTGCGGTCTTTTCGAAAGAAGAGGGAGAAATAATTTCTGGAAATACTGGAGATATATCACCTGGGAGAGCTTGGGGGGGGGGGGGGGGGGGGGAAAAAAGGGTGAGTGAGCGCGTGTCAAAGCGTTGACAGTGTGGCACATGAGCGGTGTGTCATATAAAGGGCCGCTTTGCGCTCACATGCCAGTTTTTTCTTTTGGGTTTTCCGAAGGTTTGGTTGGTTTTTTTCTTCTTACTTCTGGCTGTCGAGCTCTGCAGGCTCATTGCTAATTGCGAGCCCTGGGGTTGTGAAGAGCCAGGATACTCAGCTTGGGTTGCGAGGTTGTGTTCGTTTAATGTTTGTTTGCTTTCTTGAGTTAAAGCAAGCTGATATTTCCCGCCTCTGAACTGCATCCCATGTGAGGTGGTGTGTTTCACAAGACGCAACCGCACGGATGAGGTAGTAATTCGAGAGCGTTGCGATTGCGTTTCGGTGTCCTTGAGCTTCGGTCTTAGCATGAGAAGACGAAGCAGAAGCTGTGCTGGAAATATGTACCAGGCTTCTGAGGGACATAGTGTGCGAGCACTGGCTCTGAGTGAGTAGGGTGAACAAGCAGGTAGTTGTCTCATTGGTTTACCAGTCGAATACTGGCCCAGCTTGTGTTGCACCCGACCGCACTGATTTATTTTGAAGACTTCTGCTATCGAAGTCTCTCTCTTCGGAGCTCTGACATCTGTAGATGTGTTACGATCGACTGTGTCACCAAGCCAAAGCAGCTGGATAGCGTCTACTGAATTGCTGGCGACGTTCTAAGCCAGCCGGTGTAGTGCGGAGTCATTGAAAGAGAGTTGAGCGTTGACGTGATATACACCAGCTAGCCAAGGGGAAAAGCAGCCCGCGACGTGGTCCGAAAGTAGGGTATATATGGTCAGCTCGTACAAACGCAACAAGAAAAATCCCGAAGATTTGCGCGTTGAGCACACAGTGAAGGGGCGGGACGGAACTTGCAGAGAGAGGCGCGGGAGGGGAGAGCTGACATGTGGTGGTGGGAGAATTAGGAAGTCAGGGAGACGAAGGAGCGCAGAGGGTTTCGCAGTGAGATGGATTTGGGGTCCGGCCACGAGAGCAGTAACGATCAGCCACAACCAGAACAACCGCAAATGCAAACCTCCCCACTACCATCGCTGCCCGCTCCCATTCCTATGATGTTACCCTCACTAGGGGCATCCAACTATCACGCCACTCCAACTTCACTGCATCAGCAGCAGCAACACCACCACCACCACCACCCGCACGCGCTGCATCATGACCTCCCAAGTGCCACCAAGCTGAAGCTTTTGAACCAGAACAATACGCCCAGCGGCAATGGAGGCTCGGTGCCGACTAAATACAACGACGTCAAAAACTCCGATCAGGTGGCCACGGATCAGGCGCGCGAGATTCTACGCCAGGCAGTGGTGACCGCGGTCACGGAGTCGAATGCCGCCTCGACGAAGGCGGCGAATGCAGCGAAGAAGGGCGCCGTGCGATACCGCGAGTGCCAGAAAAACCACGCGGCTGGCATGGGAGGCCACGCCATGGATGGGTGCGGGGAGTTCATGCCTGGTGGCGGTGAGGGCTCCGTTGACGCGCTCCGATGCGCAGCGTGCAACTGCCACCGCAACTTCCACCGGCGTGAAGTCGAGGGGGAGGTTTTGTGCGATTGCAAGCGCAAGCCGAAAATGGGAGCTCCACTGGGCACCGGGATCGTCAATACGGGCCAGCCCCCGACCTTGACATCCACCACTCCAGTTACGACCCTAGCATTGACAGCAAGTGTAGCTGGGCAGATGACCCCTCTCGCGATGGCGGCATTGAGCGCTGGTGGCCCGACTGACAGTGATGAGCAGGACGACGGCCCCGGGAATGTCACCAGCGGTGGAGGGATGATGATGAGTATGAGGTCTCCTTCCGCGATCAAAAAGCGTTTCCGGACGAAATTCACCACGGAGCAGAAGGACAAGATGTGTGCATTCGCGGAGAAGCTCGGGTGGCGCATTCAGAAGCATGATGAGGCCGCGGTGCAGGAGTTTTGCACTACCGTGGGTGTGAAGCGACATGTGTTGAAGGTCTGGATGCATAACAACAAGCACACAGTGGGCAAGAAGCCATAAAAACATCTTGACGCAGACCATGCACTAGGCGATATCTGACACGATCCTCTAGAGGGAAGCTGGTCCATGTTATTGGTCTCTGATCAAGTACCCCAGACGTCGTCGAGCTGGTTCCACGGCATTGCTTGATCCGATAATGCTCATTCCATCTTCCATGCGGTTGAGTACTAATTCTGTGCTCAGCAATATTCAGTTTCCATCGAATTGCCACCCACCCACCCACCCACCTAGAGCGCTGGCAGTCCCCACAATTTCAGAGCCAACCTGCCATGCAGTCCATGGCACGAAGTTTGGGGCTGCCCGAGACTTCTATAATTCTTCGACTTCGAGGGGCCTTGTAAGTTAATTCGATTTGATCACCACAATAAGACAATCCGTTTCTGCTGCGTTGTTGCTTTGTCTCATTCCAAGCATTCTGGAATATGAAGTAATCGTAGTTTTTTCTATTAGCGTTTTAGATTAGAATTCTAAAGAGTTCGACCCAGTCAGGATAGGTTTCAGTCTGATTGTCTATCGGCCAGCTTCAGTACCAGATTATCCCCTAGTAGTTCCACACACGATGCCGCGACCATTTGGCTGGCTTATGATCTGCAAGACAATGGATGACTCCTGTCTGTAAAGTATCTTGAGGTTAGGCGAGCGAGCTTCCTTCTCGACGGCTAGCTATGATCCCCCCCTTCCCCACTGACTCCAGATTAGCATGAGTAGCGTTAGTATTAGTTTGGAAGTCATTTATCTCGTACACTCATTAGATTACTTAGTTACATTGAATCTCATAAGATGGGGGGGACTAAGATTGGTTCAGCTCATTGCGAATGAACCAACTGCGTGCATTGAATTGGAGTCGATTGCAGAGCCACGCTCTCGCACTTTCACCGACTACGCTGACATTGGAGACATTCGTGAAGACGTAGGACACTCTTGCCTCGAAGGATTATTACTGTTCTGAAATTTAAGATGTAATGTGGTTCCCGAATTCCCCTCTTCATAAAGTTATCCCTTCAGAATTTATGTTTGTCCCCCCCTCCCCCATTCTGATCAACTATCTTCTTCGCTCTGGCCCCTCTCTTGATCTGCAATGCTTAACACTTGGGTCAGATCTTGCTCTCTCCGCATTACCAGTCAGTCCTTGGCATTGTTGGTGACGACAGTAGTTCATCACAGTCACGTTATTTGTAAACAAAACGATGCGGAGTCTGAACACACAATGGGCTTACTTGTGAAGTTCTCAAACTACACTAGGAGATGGCATCTTGTTCGTACAAGACAATTATCGTAGTCGCCGATCGGCAGTACACAAGTGGGTTGAGCTAGCAAACTTGCATAGACACGGTTTTCATAATTCTAACTGCTGTGTATCAAGCTGATCACGGATCGAGTTCGAAAAACTGAAAAATCAGGAGGGACGAGGATCAGATGCTGCCAGCTTGGAACACCGCAGGTAAAATAACTACCCCTCCAGCTACTTGTACTTTGTGGGATTGAATGCACCATGCGCTTGTGATTCCCTCCCTCTCCAGTTAATGCTCCAGTGGTTGCATTATCTCATAAGCATGCAGTTTTTCCGGATCATGCCTCCCTTGGGGTTTGTGTGGCACTCACTGGTAGTTAGGTCTCCAAGCTGATCAGCGTCTTCAGAAGCTTCCCCTTCAGTAGATATTTGGTACATTCTCTCGGACGTGCTCATGGGATCCCCATCTGCTGGGTCATGTTCCACCCTCCTCCTCCTCCCAGCAACAGCAGCAGCAGGATCACCCTCCTATTAATAAAAACCCAGGGCAGCTGTGTGCAAGCGCGCAAGTCCTTTGCCGCAGTCCTTAATTCTGTAGTCTCAGTCCTTGACGTTGGTTTTGAATCAACCGGGAGGGTGACAGTAGTTATTGCCTGAGGTGATCGTGTTTCGTGCTCGTACCTACCCATTATGAAGCTACCCATTAATGGGTGACCATTAGACGTGTCGGTCTCGTCTTCAGTAACTACTACGGAGACTGAGATTATCCTCTCTCGGGTCTAGCACAGTTTGCTCCCCTTTTTATTAGCAGAGATGATGCACACACCCATTGACCACTAGCATCATAATCCTCCTTCATTCCCTCCTTCTCATGCCGTGTTTCCCTGTTCCAACTCTATGATTAGCGACAACGTTCATAACCCAGCCACTGGATTTGTATACACAAATCAACAAACTCTGCAGCAGTAAATCACCAAGATCACTGTCCCCTACTACTCCAAAACACTAGCTGCAAAAACTTCACAGCATAGGTGTCTACCTGCAGCAGCATTGAAGATGCAAAACTGGGGTCTCATTTATCTGCTACTAAGTGGTAGTAGTAGTAATAATAATAATAATAATAATCATATTAATAATGTTGCAGGTGTTTTGTCTATCTGTTAGTTTACTTGTCTAAGGTGCAGGTGAGGTTTAGGAAGGGAAAGAGCCCAGCAAGGGAAGCATGGTGACATGTCCTTGAGTTAAGGTGCAAAATCTGAACTGGACCCATGATTGAGTGGTCTAGTTTTTGGACTCTCACATGCTCCAGGCCCATGTTGACATGGCTCCTGCTGTGCCCCAATAAAATCCCCATGTACTCACTTCTACTTCTACTACTATTACAATAACTACTGTTCATGAAGAGGGAGTTGAAGATTGGGTTTTGCTTGTATTTGGGAGATGATACTTGGGCACCCCTACAAACAAACCATATGGGGTATTGTGAGAAGGTTGCATTGGTGAGAGGATGAAGGTTTGTGATGGGCTTGGGGGTGGTATTATGATTGTGAACAAGTTTATGTTTTTATACCACATGGTTAATTTGTTGATATGATCAAGTGGAGGAAGCTGTAGCCCTGCCTTCCTAAAACAATAAAAATAAAAATAAAAAACGTACATACATCTAAAAGTGAACCTGGCACATAGTACACAACTACTTTTTCAAAAAACATGTATGCATTTAATTTTTTGAAGGTTGTTGGATTAACATTTTTTTTAAAAAAGAATATTAAACTAGAGAAGAGTTTTGAAAATTTGGGAAACTTGAGACCATTTCATGTGAAGCCACTTGCCATCATTCTTATCTTGCAAGAATCAACATCATTTCCTTGTATGGCTTCATTTCTTCATTCATCTACCAAGTTGGGCTGCATACGACAAAAAAGTAGTGTTGAGTGTCGAAGATGCCTATGGCCCTTCATAAAATTTTATTTCATAATTTTTGGATTGCAAATCCGTAATCAGCAAGATTGGGCTCCTTTTTCACTCTTATTGAACATATTGGTCAAACTTTTGCCTACCTTTTCAGGATTTTGAATTTTTTTGTCAATAAAAATGAAAAAAATAAAATCTAAATGGACAGAATAATTATGAACTCTAAGAACCTAACTAAAATATTATATTATATTATATTATATATGCTTAGATTCAATGATGTAGATAAAAATAATTTAGTACAATAATTTCAAATACTTCAATGGGCTATTATGTGACTATTACAAAAAGGAAGCAAATTAAATATATATATATATATATATATATATATATTATCAAAAGCTAAAATGGATTATATTTTAAGAAATAATTTTTCTGAGAATTCTATTTAGCAATTATATCAAATACTTAAGTATCAATCTTTTCATCTACTCTACAAATTAAGATACATTACGAAATCACAAGTATAACCATTGTGATTGTCTCTGAATACAAAAATATATATATATATATATATATATATATAAAGACTTAATTAATGATGGTATCTTCGTCTGATTGATTATTTGTTAAGTAAGTATTATAAGTGTTGAATGTTTATACAACCAGTCAAAGATTTTGTGTAATGTCTTTCTACTCAATTAAATTAATGCCAGAATATTTTTATGATGATGGTAATATTAAAATCATGTCTTTGTGCACAGTAAAGAACTCAAGACTTTGGATCTCTCACTCATTTATTTTTGCTTTGAAGACAAGAAAACATTATATATATATATATATATATATATGTGTGTGTGTGTGTGTTTGTGTGCATGCATACATACATACGTGAATAATAATTGTAATTAACTGAACAATATCAAAGGCTTTTGAGTGTAAGATGAAGTCATTGAATACTCTATCTTCTTTGAATTGAAAAATGAAAGAAGAAAAGCAGGCTTACAAATTTTTTCAAGTCAAATCTTTCTAAGAAAAGACATTGACACAATCAATTGATTATTAATAAACTATATTTAGTTTTTTTGCATTATATGAAAATAAGACATTTATTTATTTATTTTCATTAAGTCCGTTTTTTCACAATAAATTTGAACTCAAGAACATTTCCTGCTGTTGATGTAAACAAAGTTAAATATAAGGCCTATTAGATGTTTTGAAACAGAACTACTCATTTATGTCAAATAGCCTTTTGACATTAAACTCAATTATCACTTGAAGAATAAGAAAACAGTGCAATCTTTCTGAAATTATGGAGGTGTTAAACAGTGATAATGCTCTCAGTTGTTGAATATACCTACAACGTAGTTGTGAATGATGCAGATGGGAATATATATATATATATATATATATATATATTGGTTTAATGTGGATGACGTTCAAATGAATAGCAAGAGGGTTTTATGGGAAATAAGAACTCAATTTGATTAATTTTTGTATTTGTAATTTATATACCTCCTATAGCTTAAAGGCGGAGTGAGGCCTTTTTGTATGTCAACTGATATCATATAATTGGAGTTGCAGAACAATAAATTGTATTTATGTAAATTTAATAAATTGAAGACAGATACGTAGTTACAATGTTAGTTGTGTTTGTAATGATATAATCTAGAGTTGAAAAAAACTTCTTTAGAACCTAAAATATTATATTTATTTTTAGTTTGACAGAGCATCCATTGAAGAAAGAAAGGAAGAAAGAAAATGAGGTACAAGCAACAATCAAATTATAAAGAAAAACCATGGATATTTTTATGTACTAGTTATCTGCACAAAATAAAAAGGACACAAATGAGCTATTGAATCCTAAATAAAGATGCCGATTTTGATTATATCCTAAAGGATTTTTAACACTTGAATTGTCTACAATTTATTAAACTCATACTTTTGATATTTATGTAGGATTCATATTTTTCCACAATTTAATCTTACTTATGAGTACTTATTAAGCCATGTTCATTTTCTTGCCAATAAATTTTGCAATTCAATTTTCAATTTTAAGATTCGTTATTAATAATAATTATGAAAAATACAAAGAATTTTTTTGTTTAGATTTTTTAAAGAACAATTGTAGTTTTCTCAATATTTTTTTCATTAAATATATTAAAATAATTAAATGTAGAAATCATAAAATAAGATATATATTTTAAAATTAAAATACCATCATAATGTTATTATGATTTGTGATACAACTTTTGGTCAAAACTTAAGCATTTCAATGTTTTATCTCAACTTAAGAAATTAAGTACACAACAATGTTTTTACATTTAAAAGTTCCGAATTAAAAGTTTGAATATTAATAAAAATATAACTTTTTCATTTCAAATCTTTTATTTTTTTAGTTTTAAGTTATTTTTACCTAACCTATATTTATAAATTATAAAAAATAGTTAATTTTATTTTTTTAACAAGATTTTTATTTTTAAAAATGTAAAAGTTTTCTTTAAAATAAAAATTTAATATCATACATAATCTTTATTGATAAATTCTTAAAAAATATATAAATAAACTTAAATTTTTTCAAATGTTTATATAGTAGATATATTTTATATCTATAAAATGTTTTGTTTATAAGAATAAATATAAATTATATCTAGAATTTGTTTTACTACTTGATTATATTATATTTTGTGAAAGATTAAAAAAATATTTATTTTTTTCTTTCCCAAGAATATTTAACATGCATTTTTTTTCTTCCAAACACTTATATTTTTTAAAGATATTATTTCAAATACCAACTATTATCAATGAAGAAATATTACTCAAATTATTTTAAATAATAATTTTAATGATAAACTTTTTTATTTTT